TTTACTCGTTGCAGGAGTGAGGACTGAACCCAGGGCCTCCTCAGCAAGCTACCTCCTCAGCCTGTTTTTATATTTATTATTATTATTTTTAATTTGGTACAAGGTCTCACTAGGCACATCAGACTTGTAGCGATTCTCCTGGTTTCAGCTTCCCCAGTGCTGGGATTATAGGTGCACGCCACCAAGCCTGGACTCAAGTCGCTGGCTCAGCATGCCTAAGGGTAGGGCCAGTGTGGCTGTGGTACTGGGGATTGAACCCATGTCCCTTGCTTGCCTAAGCAGGTGCTTTATAAAATTTTTTTTTTTTTTTTTTGCGGAACTGGGGATTGAACTCAGGCCTTTGCGCTTGCTAGGCAAGCGCTTATTCCACCAAGCCATCTCCCCGGCCCCAGTAAAACTTCTATAATGAAAAGGCAATATGGGAGCAGGCTCATCACCTGGCCCTCCTTGTGATACCACACTGGATCTGAAGCAGTTCTTTCAAGGGGCTCACACCCAAGGTGTCCCTCACAGAGCCCAGGAAACCAGTGGATCAGACCACACAGCAAAATCAAAGTAGTTTGGCTGAGCACAACTCCAAATTGGTACAGATCTTCAAGGTTAACAAACCTCCGTCCAGCTGCACATGACAAAGCCCCCAGTGTGCTAAGTGGGGCAGCAGGGAGGAAGCCTGTGGACACTTACTGTGTGTGGTGTGCTCGAGACTGCTGCCTGCGCAGAGGAGAGGCTGCTCGGGTGGCTGGCGAGTGAACTAGGAGACAAAACAAATCACTCTGTGTCCACCCAAACAAGTTACTCCATAGGAGTGAAATCTACTTGGCTCATTTGGCTACAGTAGAGCTTGTCCTTATCAGACCTCTGTATCAGTCAGACCTTATGGCCTCAAAACCATGACAAGATCATGGTTAGAAATGATCTAAAGAGTCTACGACCATACCACCCTGAATGTGCCCGATCTCGTCTGATCTTGGAAGCTAAGCAGGGTCGGGCCTGGTTAGTACTTGGATGGGAGAGATTACGTAAAGAGTCACTTTTGAGGAGATCTAATATATCCTGGCCTAGAAAACCTCTAGAAACAAAGTCAGAAAACTGTAAAACTTTAGGCTGTAAAAAGACTAAAAACAGGCCTGTATTATGAATACTGCTATGCTTGAAGAGTTCATAAAAATCTGTGTAGGAGATATATTCCACCCCATATAATAGAGTCAGAGCCTGAATTCCCATCTAGAGTGTAAATCAAGTATTTTCCTCAAGCAGTCAAGAAGATTCCTGGAACTATGTCAATTTTAACTCAGACATTTACTTAAAAATCCAACATCATTCACACTCCATGTACGTGATGGGTTACATGAGTCCACAGCTAGGGACAGGCTAGGATCAGGGTACCAGACAAGGTCCAAGATGAGTAACAGAGAACCCTTGGTGCCATCCACTTCCCAGAAGACCCAGTGCTCTGTATCAGCAGAGGCAAGGTTTTCACATTTAGCAGTTTTGACCTAGAATTGGCCAAAACCCAAGTTCAGATATTAATGGAAAATCCCAAGAAGTCATGGAGGAAGCAACAAGTACATATTGTATTTGTTGGAGCATACCAACTTAAAAGAGTTTCAATGGTCTTATCACTTTGGGCCCACATTTCCCTCATACCTGCTAAGCTGAGAGAGAGGGCTGCTGGACAGGTCACCAGGCTGGGACAAGGAGGGCAAAGCAGCAGTGTGCTGGGACACAGAGGGTAGGAGGGCAGTGCAGGAGGTGGTACTGGACAGGGAGCTCACAGATGCGAGGGTGGAGGGAGGGTCTGTCGTCTTGGGAGCTGGAACGGATGAAGTAGCTGCAAGAAACAGATCTTTTTAGCTCTAGAATCAATCCTGAGTATCTTGTAACATATCAGGCTCAGGTGAGATATATGCAAAGGCGCATTCCTTGGGACAGTGGCCATCACTGGGTGGTCAATCTCTGTCGTGCAGGACTGCCAGAAACATGTGTGACATCTGGATGTGCAGCAGACTTGGGCAAAGGGTAGAAAATGGTATGTTTATAACATTAAAACTGCCCTGTGGTATAGAAAATTATTTTATGTATGGAAACCTGACCTAGAGAAGCACCTAGAAACGAACAGATGTGCTAGGATCTTATGCAATTATAAACTGAGGCAAGTTTTTCTCCAAAACCACAACATGGTACAGTTAGGAAAGCCAATGGGCAAAACCACTCAAGAATACTTGATTCATTCAGTGTCAACCTGGGCTGATGCTGCCAGCATCACAGCCAGCTCAAAGCAAGGGACTGAGAATCCACAGTGCATACACACCTATATTCAAATGCCCAACGAGAATTTCACTGGGATGTGCTCTGACAGATTAATGTATGGAAACCTGACCTAGAAAACACATAAATAAACTTAGTAGGATTCAGAAAGGATATGGGACAAGAAACCCTACCTGTGGAAAAGACTCAGTTTAGTGCTGTCCACACACATATTTCAGATATGTGCTTGGAAGTACATCATTGTCTTTTCCAAAGAGGAAGCAGAAGATACCTAACAGAGAGGACAACTTGAAAATAAGCACAAGTTGGGACAGCTCAGGTCAGCCAGCAGCCAGATCACTCTTAAGAGGCCTTTATGTTCCTGAGTCCCCCTTCATCTTGGCAGTATATTCCAAAAACAAAATCTGTTCTTATGGGAACTAGATGAGACACAACTGGTATCTCTCACCCAAAACTAAGACCCCCAAAAGATACCTCCCTAGGCCATGGATGACACTAATAACAGGCTCATAGCAAGCCACTCTTTCAAACAACAAGTAATGGAGATGGAGGGTGGGACTGGGTGAAGAATGTTGACAATAAAACTATTTTAAATGAATGTTGTGCTTTCCAGATACTTATTACATCATTTAACAACTCCAACCCACCTAGGACTCCTGTATATGTTCTCAACCCCATGACTGGACAAAAGAAGTCAGCTGCCACTGATGCTACCATGAGAGGTGTCAATGTCACTCAATAAACTCAGAGTGCCAACATTTCTGAAAATAGCCCTGCCAGCCTGGCATTATCAGTACCGAAACCAAATTCCAATACATCAGTTCTCATTTCAATTTGAACAGGGATTCATCTTGTCTATTAACATTTCATATCCATCCTCCCTAAAAGTTCCTAACTTAAAAAAAGAATCATCTGGCTTCCAAACCCAATAGTGTATAATCCATTTGCCTTACAGAACAATGAAAGAAAACCAATCACAGTTAATCTAGAGCCACAAAAGAAAGAAACAACTAAGAGGGATTCATCTATACTATCACTAATGACGGCTTAGCTGTCAAACAAGTACGCATTTTTCTCTGAAGCATTTACAACAAAGAACATTTCAACTTTTTCTCTTCCTAAACAAACATCCTTCAAATTCTGAAAGCAATGGGCATGTCTTTGCTAAACCAGGAGAATTTGTTTTGTTTTATTTGCTTGACAGTCCCTCATACCTGGGCAGGTACCTATAACACTAGCTACTCAGGGAGGCTGAAGCAGGATTTTGAGTTAGGGATCAGCCTTACTGACCCCATCGAGACAGAAAGACAAGAGGAAGGGAAGAGGGAAGGAGGGAGGAAGGAAAAGGAAAAAGGCAATGAAAAGAAGGTGTTGTTGTTCCTATTGACATGGCAGCCTCTTCACCAACATGGAGTCTGTGTCTCCAAATGGATTTAAATGAGTGCTGTACTCGCAGTTGGTCTCGAGTCTAATTAGGGCAGAAGAACAACAAACAGTATCTCTTTTTGCTCTATTATATTTCTAATAACACTACTACCACCTGATCAAATGGGAACCTCTAGTGATCTTCATTAACTCTGCCACAGAAAAAGAAGCTGCTTTCTCTTAACCAGTGAAGGACCAGAAGCCATTTTCAGAAAAATTATCAAAAGGCTGTTGTGGGGAAGTAGCCATTGGCCAGTCAGTGTTCTCCCATCACATCAGCCATACTTTCTCTATTTGTTTTTCCATCAGTCATGACAAGGATATAGTTAACTGATATACTTACTGTCTAATGTTTGCTGACTTCGACCACCACCATGTCCATTCTATAAGAAATGGAAAAAAAAAAGTAACCCCATCTTACCTCTCAAATGATTACTAGATAGCCTTGTATTGGGATTCAGTAACAATCATATGAAGTACAGATTAATGAAGAACAACTGTGTTTTATATATTCTTTTTGCTCTTGATACGTAGTTCAGGCTGGCCTTGAATTCACTTAAGAGTCCAGGCTGCCGTCCAATTCAGCGATCATCCTGCCTCAATTCCTGTGTGCAAGGATTATACGTTTCCTACCATACCCACTATTATTATTATTTTACATAAAACTTCTAATGATCACAAAAGGGCCAACAGTTTTGAAAACAAGCTTTACTATTTTGGGAAATAACAAACAGAAAGTACATAGAAAGCAGCAAAACAGCCCTAAAATAATTCTTTAAAACGTCTAAGAGTGGTGCTGTACACCTCTAATCCAGCACTTTGGGAGGCTGAAGGAGGATCTCAAACCAAGGCTACCCAACTTAATGACTTAAAGAGACCATGCCTCATGATAAAATATAAAGGCTGGTAATTTGTTCACTGTAAAGGCCCTGAGTTCAATCTCTAGCACTACAAAAATGAAAAACGTTTAAATGGCCTAGCAGAAACTTAGCTACCCATTCTTTTCTTCTTTTCCTCTCTCCCTCCATTCTCTCCCACAGGCCCTAAGTTTCCTTCTAAGATTTCCAGTAGATAATACTTATATATCTCAATTTAGGAGAGAGACGATCACTGGCCATATCAATCAAATCAAACCAAACCACTGTAAGGGCAAGACTTTTAAAATACGATAAAGACATGTGGTTTCTTTATTTGTAGCAACAGATGATTAGAGAATATTTAATTACAATATAATAAATCCAGCTAATGATAATGCAGAATCACATGTTGTCAAGGCATAGGAATTAGTAAGGGGGACAAAATAAAATATTCAGAGACAGGGTACAGTCCACATGGAAGTACACAGCACCAGAGCCAAAGTGCTTACACTACTTAGAGGTTTGGTCTTTTGTCAGTAAGCATGTGTGTCTATAGAGCCACATTCACTCACATGTATGGGCTCTAGAGATGCCTACAATAAACAAGCTCAAACACGCATTATATTCAATAGTATACTAACTTCCAAGTAGAATATCCTAAAAGAGAAAAAAAAAAACAAACCTGCAACATGACTTACTGGGATGGCTCCTGGAGCTGACCCTGGTGGAATCACAGAGCTTTGGTATGCGATCCTGCTGTGCACAGCACTCTGGTCATAAGAGGAAGATGTTGTCACAGGGCTAGTGGAGCTCAGGGATGAGCTGCTCAGACTGGAGGTGGCAATGGCTGAAGCAGTGCAGGTGGAGCCCTGCACAGCACTGGTCATTGGTAGAGAGTTTCTTAGAGGATCACTAAAAAGAATAAAAAGTAGTAGATATAAACTGATGCTTGACATCACTTCCTGAAATTGAACCACCTAAGCTCATTGCTGAACTATAGATTCAATAATCATGCAATTATAAATGTGTACCACCATGTCTTTAACTCTTAAATAAAGCTCAACAATCCCTCACATACCCATGGAATTTAACTGATGGGCAAGGCGGCGTTTTAAAGAATCCTTAACATGTGAGTGAGACGACCCGGGGTCCACGGATCCTGAATAGACCCAGAGCGCAGGCCCGGCTAGTGAGACAACCTGGGGCCCGCCGGATCCTGAACAGACCATTAGGGCAGGCCCAGCAAGTGAGTGAAACCACCCGGGGCCCCGCGGAATCCTGAATAGACCAGGAGTGCAGACCCTGCAAGTGAGTGAGAACACCCGGGGCCCGCAGATCCTCATTCCACCCAGAGTGCAGGTTGAGCGTGGAACCCTTCAGCAGAACTTCCTGCAAAGAGGCTAGAGGCAAGACCCACCCAGCTGATTCAGGAGCAGAACATCTTGCCAGAGAGACACAAAGGGTTCAACTCTAATGGCTGCAGCAGAAAGAAGTGGAGCACA